CCCCAAAACCCCAAAACCCCAAAACCCCAAAACCCCTCTTTGGAATATTAAAATTGAAAGCAAAGCTTTCAGAATAATATAAATGGATAAAATGCTGAGTTTTAACAGTCAAGATTATGCTTCTTCGTGACCAAGAAGGATTCTATTGTCACTTTGAATGATCGTTTTACTAAATTTGGTATGTGCAAGTCACCAAAGGGTTTTCTCCACTGATACAGCTGAATGTAGAGCCTGAATAGAATCAATAAAGAACCAATGGTGAAGACCCAAGTACGAGCATAAGTATGGTAAATGCACCATTGATCAAGACGAGAGTCAATATGAACTCTGAAGTGATACTAATTCTTCTGATTATCATAAAGGCTACTTATTATGCCCTTCAGATGCTAGTTCTTGTGGGGTCCAGGTCAAATGGACTGATTCCCATCTGGAGCAATACCAGTTTGTGTCTAATAAAATTCCTGCAGATGGAGTCTGCTGGTATGAGCTGAGAAAGACCTCTAATAAAAACTCAGAATTTAGAGTTGATATCACGAGTTTAAAGGGAGATTATGAAGCAAAAGTATTTACCAAAGGGCTTGATGGAATTGTATCTGAAATCGGTAATAGTTCAGACAACTTTGGAGTGAATTATAAAAGCTCGATCTTTGTTGTAATTGCTCCTAGTCACTACTCAGATACTTCCGTTACCATCGATATAAAGGAGAAAGGGTATAGGGAATCCTTTTCACAAAAGTATCACCGCATCATATACACGCTATTTTTAACTACATCAATCATAGTTCTCTTACTATTTTTGTTGATAGTTTCTCTGTTTTATTATTCGAAGCGCCGGTCAAGTCAGAAACAGAAAATAGTTCTAGAGCCAAATGATCAAGCGAAGAGAATACTTTCTGTGGACAACTCCAAGTCTATTGTGGCTAACTCTATGAGAGAACTTAGGTTTAAATCCTCTATCGACGGTTCTCTATATGATTCAGGTAAAAGGTAGGTATAACAGCGGGAGTTATCCCTGGAAGGAATTTAAAGGCGGCCATTCCAGTTATTTTTATTTGAATGTCAATAGCTTCTAGGGGATTTCAAACAAACTTTTTCTGTAGTTTCACTCTTTAACATACTTGTTTACTTTTCTAACATTACGTGTCATAGGAGGTTTAAAAGGCCTGTAAAGAGATTATCAACAGCACAACTTGGAGTATAGCTTTGGTACAGTCGATGAGGAAGATTTCGAGGGGTTTTGATGAGTAATTTTGAACTCAAATAATAACTTTTCTAAATTCGACATTTTGAGAAATATTGCTCTATGATTTATGTTGGGAGCCTTGAAGTAGAAATACAATTTTTTAATTTTAGTTGAGGCTAAGGGACAGAAGTGATTCTTCTTGATTATAATTACTATTTCTTCAATTTTCAGTTAATTTTAGCACATTGTAGTTTTATCCAAGCTCCATTTCAATTCAACTACTAGCTTCCAAATAGGGGTTTTGGGGTTTTGGGGTTTTGGGG